ACAAAGAACCCAGGAGAGGGAAGAGGAAGAAAAAGGACAAAAAAGCCCACAATAAAAAAGAAAAATAATGAGTGCAGCCTCTCAGCCAGATTAGTATCTCAGTCAGGGCACTGTGCAGTTGCACCAAAGGCTGAGCTAACACACTGCACCAAGCAGCTGGAAACATGAACAATAGGGGCAGAGATTGCTTAAGGCAGTTCAGACAACAGCAGTGACAAACGTGGAATCACAGCCTGAATGCCACTGACTCTATACTGTAAACAGACAAGAATCTGGGCTTCAGAATGGCAAAAGGAAATAGGATTTACCAACTATCATTTGGGTTATTCTCATACTACTACATCAGCTTCATGAGCTGAATTGCAATCCTTGCTCCTGGCTCACAAATTTAGGAACCGAAATTTCATACCAGCTTCTCACTCAAATCTTAGAACGCATTTGTGGCTCAGCATAAAGGAGACAGCTGTAAATGTCAGACCTGGTTTCCCACATTGAAGCTGAAAAGGAAACACATCTCAAGAATTTCTGAGAGAGATCAGGAATGTCAGTCAGTGCACAATTCTCTCATTAAATAATTTCTATCATTTCAAAGAACACCCACAGGTAAAAGGTAAGAAGGTTATAAAGCAATTGCAACCGTTAAAACAACATTCAGGATATGTCAAAACAGGACAGAAGAAATCCTGCAGCCTTTTAACTGGAGCTTTTAAAAACCTTCACCATAACAATGATTTTACTGGCACAACACAGCACTAACCCTTAACTCAGCACTACTAAAGGAAGGATTATTTCAAAGAGCTGATGTTGGTATATAGCTTTTAGTTTCACTGCAGCCATTCAATCACTTGACAACTTTGAATTTGTTAGATCTACAATTTCTGAAATATTTGTTGTAACCATCATTAAACCATAGAAACACACACAAAAGTATCATTAAAAGAGCTGTGCTCCCAAGTACTATTCAGTCTTTCCAGATCAAACTCTTTAAAGTAGAATTTTTTGAGAAATTTTGGCTTATAGTGGAGTACTTTTTGTGCTTTGAGGGGTCTTCCCCCTAGCGATTTTGTTTCAGTGTCACCTGTTCTCTCCATTTTGATGAAAAGTAGCCACTGTTTAGAAAAACATCCAGAGATGAAGTGTAACTTCAACAAATCAATGAATATCAAAATAACAAAAATTATTTAAAGCCTACTTAGTACAAAGAATCATCTAAGCACTTAAATATTTTCTTTCACTACGAAATACAACTAATTCATCATACAAGCCATATAAGGAACCCCAAAGGCTTATGTGCTCTGCATTTACAATAGCAGAATCATCTGCAAGGATCCACAGCATAAACAAAGTTAAATATTTTGTCTAATAGCAGCACACTTCAGACCAAAAATTCATCCATAATTGAACAAACAAACAAAAAAGAATGAACAGGAGAAGGCTGTCAGGTTTTCAGACTTCCTGGCTTTATGTATCACTCCTTGACTAAAATGTCAATAGGAGAGACATTAAGAGTGCTTTACTTCCAAGTAAAGTGCATGCCAGCAACCCCAGTGAATATTAATGCTAGTTCTTTGAACATTACCTGGGTAGTCACCACTGCTAGATTCAGGGTAAGGAAGAGCTCTCTACATTTAGCTCACAAATTGAGTCCCTTTGACTGCACAGTATTGTATTAAGGCAAATAAATATACACATCAGTAATTTTTAAGATAAAAGGTTTACCACCTTTGCCCCTTTTTATTACCAAGATGCAAATCACTGCGTAATCTGTTTCATACTAAAAATTAAATAAGTAGAACTCAGTTATTAGATAACTGAATTCCTGTGTTGAGGAAAAGATAAACTGATTTCTTTAACTGCAGGCACTAACACTATGATAATTTACAACCTGACCTGCATCTGCTGCTATTTTACAAACTACCACTCTTCATGCATTAGAGCCCTTTGCACATGAAACAAGGCAACTGTCACTGCTATCTAATGCATTTCCAATGAAACAGAACCAATGAATTATGTAAAAAAAATAAAATAAAATCCAAGTTCACAAACATCACACACAGAATCAAAGTTGTCAAACAGAGCCCAAAGGCCAAATTAGTAACTGGACTCCATGTATCCAGCCATGGGGAGATCAAACCATGTAACACATGGCATTACTAACTTGGAACTAAACACTAATTGCATCAAGAAGCTCCATTTTAACACTACAACAATTTTCACTATATGCTATGGATGTGACAGCTTAAAATCACTCACAGTGACTAACTGGATTTTTTTTAACTTATATATTCATTTAGGAATGTACCCAGCCACAACAGAACAGGTTCAGGCAGCAGTTACTTCCTTACCTTTAGTTATATGCTGCACAAAGACTTTTGCACAATACCACTGACCCTGAATAAGACTCAACTAAGAAGAATTCACATGCATGAAACATTTCAATTGATCCAGAAATCACTTCTCTCTCATTATT